AAAAAAATTGTAAATGCATATCAGATCTTATTACTCCTCTGCTCCAAACACTCCAAACAGTCTCCACATTAGCCAGGATCAGGACAAAGTCCTCACAGGTCCACAAAGCCCGACAAGAGCTAACTCCTAGCCACCTCTCAGACCTCACCTCCACTCTCCTCCCTCAGACACGCTGCAGCAGCCACCCTGGTCATTTTGTAGCTCCTCTGCCCGGGATGGGGGCCCCCAAGGACAGAGAACGCTAAGGACAAAAAGATGGAGGTATCCCAGGAAGTCACGATGCCAGGAGAGACAAGGGAAGAGTAAGCAGCGATGTGGCACCCTGAGTCAGGTGCTCCCCCGGCTGCTCTCGGGAGGAATCTGGGGAGACACCCTTGCTTACGGTGCCTGTGGTCGCCAAGCACAGCACGGCGGTTTCTAACCAAATGCGATGAGCAAGATGGGACTGCCAGAGAAGCTCTCCTGTGTGGGGAAAACACAGGTTTCCCTCTCGGACTGCATTCCATGAGGCTCAAGCAAGGGATGAGTTCACTGGTTTCTTAAACAATTGGGAATGGTTTGCTTTGTCCAGGCCTTTTCTTTTCCCCTCCTGAGTCACTAGGAGTATTATGGCAATACACAGTAAAATTATTGTGGAATTCAGATGGGCCTGTCTTCACAGTCATAAAAGGGAGTTTTTAGGGACCAGTTAAAATGGCTAAAAATGCAAATGTAAAGTACCCTGAGATGCAGAGAAACCACTGGTCTAAACTCCATGCCACTGAGGACGGGAATCCCAGTGTGAACGAGACGTTAAATAGGGGTCTTTTAGGCCTGAGATTTACAGTTACAGTACACGGCCAAAAACTGCTGTGAGAAGTATTAAAGCTTTAATTCAAAAACTCGGATGGGGAAAAGTGTCCTGTTGAATCCCGGAAAAACCAATTGCCTCAGGAATAAAAAACACAGAAATGAAATGAAATGAAATGGAAAGATTAAGTGATATGTAAACGTTTTTATATCCTGCCAACTTCGGACTCTGAGTTATATATTAACTTACATGTAAATTTCAAAAACGGTAACAGGCGCTGAGCTTACGACTTTCTTCCTGGTGAAGGAATCCTGACCTGCTAAGTTACACCAGCATCCAGAGGGCAAGAAGATGAACAAGAACAGTCCGTCTTGTAGGAGATCAATTCAAATGAAAAAAGCCTGAAAAATCGTTTGACAAGTAATCGAAGAGTTCGCAGAATCAACTCAACACGGGTCATTTGTTTCTACAGCAGTCAACTATGACACCTACAGCTTGGTTTTCTTCCATTTTGGATGGAGAACCAGAACAGTTTTGGGGGAAAATCCAAGTAAATACACAATACAAAATAACACCCATCACAACCCCAAAGGAAAAAAGCAAATTCAAAATCAAGAATAGTTTGGCCAGGAGTCTGTTTCCTGATGTGATCTGTTTCAATACCGTGAATTGTTGAAGAAATGCAATGTCAGTAATGCCTCCAAAAGTGCCAAATGGTCTTGCTCCAAGTAAATTCAAACTCATACTATAAAATCATCTGAAATACACTGGAATAGCGTTATTACGGATGAATAAACACTTGCGGGGCCTAGACGGAGATCCCAAAACTTAACAAGTGAAACAATTCTTTGGCATATCACTTCTGGGTCCATTTGTAGTACCCTGGTTTGTAAAAACCTTATCCTTTGAACAGCTCCCACCACAGTTTTCCTTGAAACTGAAAAGAAGGCTTTTGTTTTGATTTTTTTTTTGTTTTTTTTTTTTTGTTTTGGAAACACTTTGATGTCACCAGAATATTCTCCTGCCTAGAAGAATACAATCAAGTAATTTATTTAAATAGATTTCTGGCCTATCTCACCGGTACACAGTGTTAACCTGATATCGTAATATCGCCTAACCACAAGCATAAACATGACCTTTCAAAACATACTAAAAGGGAGAAATAAAAGGGCACTGAACACAACCGAGACGAGTGGCTCGGAGTGGAGGAAGGTAGACGGGGCAGGAGGAAAAAAGGCACACACTACTGGTAACGTTTTATTTCCTAGGGTAGGCGGTGAGGGCATGGGAGCTCATTTTAACGTGAGGTGTGTAAACTGTAGGCACGCGTGCGCGCACACACACACACACACACACACTCTTTTGTATGTATTTTATTTTTCATAATAAAACCTGTTTTTCTTTTTAAAAGAAAGGAAGACATCAGTAAGGTGGTAAGAGATTTACTTCTTCAATTCCAGAATGCTCCAGTGAAAGCATTCA